TTTACAAAACTAGTTGAGTTAACCGATGAAATACCAAACTTTGTTTACAAATAAATATATTGCAGTCACTCATAGACCAACTGTTCTGTTGCATTTTACATTATCATTTCAGCTAATCGAGTTTAGTTAAAAATTACTTAACCAATTTGTTATAAGTCAAATGCGATTTCGATAATCTGTAACATAAAAATATTGTTCTTCAGGTAATTATTTACATAGAGTGAGCCTAACTACAACTAATTTGTGCTATTATTAGTAAGTCCAAAAACCGCTATGAATAACTGAAAACGATGGTTCACTCACATCACTAAAAGTGATGCAACTGTTAGCTAAAAAGTTCAGTTACAGATTGCAAGTTTTGTTAAATCAAATCAAATTAAATCATCTTTATTTTAAATGTTCGGTACATCCGCTGAATTACGCTATAGAGATTGTTTTGTGCGTATATATGTTACGCTCAAAGATTGGAAACGCTCAGTGAGCGGAATAATAGCTCACAACGCGTTGTGGTCACAGTAAAACATCCACATGGCGAAATTCGTGTTATGGCTCTAATGAAAACGCGCGCGACGCGTTGTGGCAATCACAGAAAGACTAAATAGCGAAATTCGTGTCGTGGCTGACATGCTATTCGATCTCAACGCGTTGTGGCAATGAAGAAAAGCCATGGTTGGTTCTGAGCATTCATTATTTTAACCATATCACGACGGACAGGTTGTAAGTTGATAGAGGACGTGCAGCACCCAGGAATTTTATGTTTGTTGTTATAAGCATTAATCCATCAGGTCTCTACCAGTTAGGAAACAAGGAAGGTACATTCGGTAGATTTTTTGCACGTAATGAGTTTACACTTTCTGAAACCAACTTTATTAACATTTGTGATGTGCCCTCAACTTCGTCATTCACACTTTGCTCAGCATCTATGTTATCATCTGGACGTAAGCAAGGGTTTTAACGTGCCACTGCAAAAGATACTGTATTGATAAAAAGTGCAAGTGTCGCTCCAAGAATATAAAATGCAACTCAAAATGCCGCAGTAATAGTTCCTGTAAAAATAAATAGCAACAAATACTTATTTTTCACAATTATAGTCATTTCTAATATAAGTAATTGATTTAAGTACATTGTTGTTGTTTACTGGTGATCAATAAACATTTATGTTTGTGTTAAATATTTTTATTACTTAAAAAAAATTAAATTATTATAAAAAATTAAAATCCCTAATTAATTCAAGTGAATTATAAGTAATTTACAAATGATTAATATTTTGTATTCAGTAATAAATAACTTAATACGTTGATTTTTTTAAATATAAAGTAATCTCCATAAAAAACAAATATGGTTTTATTTTAATTTATATAATTATATCATATCATCTACCAAAACGTTTCCAGCCTAGGCCTAGTAGGATCCATATCGGAAAGTAGTGTGCGTCGTAATCAAATAATATTCCATACGCGTCATGGCTTTTCTTCATTGCCAGAACGCGTTGAGATCGAATAGCATGTCAGCCACGACACGAATTTCGCTATTTGGTCTTTCTGTGATTGCCACAACGCGTCATGCGCGTCTTCATTAGAGCCATAACACGAATTTCGCTATGTGGATGATTTACTGTGACCACAACGCGTTGTGAGCTATTTTTCCGCTCACTGAGCGTTTTCGATCTTTGAGCGTAACATATATAAGGTAAGTTTATAAATTTTGTATTTGAACATTAATTGGGATGGTTATTGTGATTACAATAATCCCCTGTTAACCACCAGTACTTACTAGTTAGTAAACAGTACGTACAGGGTTTTAAATCAGAAAAGTACTTTTGCAAGTAAGATACAGCTATTATAATTCATCAGAAAATCATTTTGTAGATAACACAATAGTTCGGTTACAAATAACAGTTTAGTGAAGCAATCATTTTGTAACCAATTACTGAAGAAGTCTAAGAATTTACAAAATCATATATAACAAAACAGTTTTGTAAACTTTACATAACTGTTTTGTTATAACCACAAAACTATTTTAACAAAACCGAGTTTGTCTTCTAGTCACTATAGTTATGTAGTCACTATTTCTATGTAATAGGTAATATTTTTTTTAGTTTTCCTTCAACTGTGTAAGCAAAATGGCCGACATACCCCCATCTGTGTAGCCCGCCATTTTGTTTTTCATAGACGGGATTTTTTGTTTCCTGCACTTCACAAAAACTCTTATTATTTGCGTGCCACTGTACATTCAGGCTTCAGTTATGTCTTAAATCAATCCTTAGTAGTTTCTCTACAAACTGTTTTATTTATTAGATCTGTAAATAAAATATCGGTCGTAAAATCAAAAATGATTCAAAACATCTCTCTCATTACTCTGTAGAGCACACTACGATACGGTACCATTTTTTTTAAATCACTAAGTCTGTTTTCATTGTATACACTTTTATTTAGTATCATGTAAAGGGAAACAAACCGGAATTTTTAATAAACCACAGAGACAAGTTACGTACAAAATCTATCCATGATTGCGCGATTGACGTTTCGTTACCGCTCTTAATAGGTAGCAAGTATCGGGTCACGGATTTAAGTTTATTTTGTATTAATTTCTTGAGTGGAAGATATTTACTGTTGTTTCTTTATTTTAAAGAAAAAATTGTGTATATTTCAAGTAAATAATTACTTTTTTTTCAAAAACTGAATGTTTTTCATGTTATCAGCTTGTCACGGCAACAGTACTCTGTACCGATTTTCCGGGACACGGAGTATTTTTATCTAAAAATATTTTAACGTTACTTCAAACTTTTTTTTAGTGTGACGAAAAAAGAAGTACGTTCGTTTATGATGCGTACCTACAAATTTGTACGTAACCCTCGGTGGGCAAGTCCGATTCGCACTTGTCCGGTTATTCTGGAGACATGTTAACTAGTAAAATCTTATAATTATATTAAACAGTTTTGTTTTAAACTAAGAGTAAAATTATAATTTTTATTATTTTAAAGCATGCCTTATGTCCAAATCTAAAGAAAATATAACCAGAATAAAATCCACGCGGAGCAGGCAGCAGACGCAACAAAATTATAACTATAATTGGTATTTCTTCTTTCAAATGTTTAATACTTGTAAAAGTATTCATTTGACATTGTGGGTTACCTATAATGCGAAGAGATGGCGCTGCCTTGCAGCTTAAGAATGGCTAGAGGAATTTCGACGCCGTCCGTAGTGGCCGCGGTAGCATAATTGGTCAGTGCATTCGCCCGGATTGCGAAGGGTGCAGGTTCGAGTCCCGTCTGCTGTCTAGTCCGCGTGGAATATTTTCTGGTTATATTTCCTTTAGATTAAGAGTAAAATTGATAAAATAAAAAATGGCGGTTTTTCATCGCGTAACGTCTTGTAGCGTATTAAATGTTTGGAAAGCGATTCATAGTAAACTTTTTGAATCGTGTCTTTTGTTTTTTTAAATTGACAGCTATTTAATTCAAATCATTTATTATTCGGACAACATAGATCCATGTGTTAGTATACAACACTTTATACTATGGTAGTAAATTATATTAAAGACTGATATAACCCTATTTACAAAAATATTTATCAGTGGACAGTCCCTACGCGCCACTAAATCCCTCACAACTCTACTGCGGCTACCACGAACCCGCCGTAGCAATGAACCTGCTTTTTTGCGCAAAAGAGCCGGGAAACTGTCGACCTGCGCATCCGCGAACATTCCCGAAGCACTACAATATCGCGGCAGCCGCAGCAGTGCCCTGAAGGCATTATTGTATTGGACACGGAGGACATCATATGATTTTCGGGTAAAATGAACCCATAGGCTGCTCGAGTAGAAAGATGTACAAAAAGCCTTAAGAAGAGTGATTTTTACAGTGTCAGAACATCGAGCAAACCTACGGGCCAACATATTTGCCCCCTTAGACAATGCCCTTCGCTCCCTTTCAAGGTCAGCGTCATCCTTTGAAGTATCTGTAACAATATGACCTAGATTAAATTGCGTAACTCTACGGAGATCAGATCCATATAGTTTTACAGAGGGCACGGTTTCAGGATTCTTTCCGTGAGCCTTAAAAGTCATATATACACTTTTACTGGTATTATAAGATAAACCATGATTGGTTGAATAGGTTTCACAAATGTTCAAACGCATCCTCAAAGCACTGATCGAAGGAGCCAGCAACACCATGTCATCCGCGTAACTGATATTATTTACGCAAACACTCTCTACGTGACAACCGACACGTGTATCGCTAAGCTCCTCAATCAGCGCGTTGATGTACAGATTAAATAATTTCGGTGAAGTTCTTCCCCCCTGCCTAATGCCATTCTAACCTGTACTCCTCCGAATGAACACCAGCCCATTTCACACAATTAGCCTGGTTCCCGTACCAGAACATAAACAAAGATATTAAGTCTAAGGGTAAACCACACCCCTTTAATTTATCCCACAGAATACTGTAGTCAACCAGATCGAACGCCCTGGATAGGTCCAAAAAAACAGGCGTATACAGGCGTCTTTCTATCTAAAGTAGTACCTGATGGCGTGCTTGAGAGTCCATATTGCACTTTCCGTAGATAGACCAGGCCTAAAGCCAAACTGAAGATCGTGGATCGTGGATGTTTAGATATTTACTGAGTTGAGAATCAAGCACCCCATCAAACACTTTAGCCACTACTGTTGCCAATGTAATTGGCCTGCAATTTAACCTAGATGACACATCTCCAGTTTTATTTTTTATTTAAGTAAATGCGGATTCGATAAACACGCGTAAGAATTTCATTGGGTGACCGTCGAGGCAAGTAACCTCACCTTACAGAAGACAACAGTGAAATTTTACTTTTGGTGCTAAGAATCATTGGAACCGTGGACAAAGTCGCGGGTGACAGTTAGTTGTTCACAAAGTTATTACTCCTTCAAAACAGCGATGAATTATTTATTTCCTTATCACCCTACATTTCCGTTAGAGATAATTATGTCCTACGTTTTGTTTATTGGTCATTTGTTCTGCGACTCAATGAAAAGTGCAACCTGTGTCATTATTCTTGAAAAAATCATTTTTTCAGTGGCAATAAACTGACGTAGTGTTTGTTACTGAAAGATAAGCAGCACCATGGACATCGTATTAAAATTACTGATTTGTAAGTACTTACGCGACCAATTTATCTGAAACAATAAACCTACTAATTTTAAAATGTGAAAGTTTGTGTTTATGTGTTTGTATCTTTGTTTCTCATTCACGCAAAAACGGCTGAACAGATTTGGATGGAATTCAGGACGAATACAGTGTACTACCTGGATTGAGACAAAGGATACTTTTTCTCCCAGAAAATGTTAGATTCGTGTGGGATTCTCAAAAAATTAAAGCATCGGACGAAGTCGCGGGCGGCCGCTAGTAAAAAAAGAAGTATATTTTATATAGTTACTTTCATAGAAGTGGATTGTAGAACCAAACCGAACTTTCTGTGCCGGTCTATTTTCTCTTTTTCCGCGTTGTTTTATCAGAAGAACTTTTTAGCCAAATTTTACGATATTTTTAAGGACACTTGCACCAACATACTTATATTAAGTCAATGCTTAACTCTACCCTACCCTACCCTTACATAATATATATAGATTTATGTTAAACAAGCGTATGGTCCGCCTGATTGTAAGCGGCCACCATAGCCTATAGACGCTTTCAATACTAAAATATCACTCGCACCGATATCTACCCTGACCTTAGATTAAAACAAAAAGGAAAGATACGGTACGCTCATACTAGTATAAAAAAAACTCAACTACATAAGCAACTCTCACACACGCACACGTCTGTAAATAAACATTCAACCGAGCGAGCGAGACAGAACTGTACGCTTCAACGCAGCCCGAGCGAAATGGCGAGTTCGCTTCCGAGTCCGTACGGCTGAGCTGTATTGTTGTCCTTTTATTGATAACAAAATGGCGATTATGTAATTGACATTCACGATAAACTGTGATTTTAGAAAAAAAAAATTTTTACTGTTTTACGAATGAAAATTGTTGCCGAGGCATTCTTTATTTGATTTTGAACAATTTGTGTTCTTTATAAAAGCATCGAAGGCATTGTTTTATCTTTATAACACAGAATATACGCAATATGGTTAAACTGAGTGCACATGTAGCGTGTCTGAATGTCCAATTGTGACTAAAGCGAATTGTGGTCGTGCACCACAATTTAAGCGGATCACTTTTGAGCCATGAGTGACGTATCTTCCTTTTTTATTTTAATCTAAGACCCCATCTACCCCGTGGAGCCCTAGAACCTTACTCACCGTCAGAAATTAAAAAAAACCGGCCAAGTGCGAGTCGGACTCGCGCACCGAGGGTTCCGTACAAACCTGCAAGGTTTACAAAGTTCGTTCATTACGACAATCGAGTCATAACTATGGTATTTTTATTGCAAAATGAAATTCATAACATTACAATGGGGAAAGATGGAGGAGCATAAATTTAAGACAAAGATCTCTTTATCGTTTAAGTAATCCTTTATTTTATATTAACACATATCATTTATCTATAATATAACTGAAACACTTATACTAGCCTTGCAGCAGACTTGCGAAAGTTCTTTTATTAAAGATATTTATTTACTAAGTTTTTTAGTCATTATTTAGAAATCTGGTTCAAAAATATTAATTAAGTATTAAATTTGAACCAGACCTGTAAATGTTTATATTTATTAAAAAATATATATTTTGTAATGTAACTAAAAATTTAAGGTTTTCGGAATTTTTCCTTTATGTGTGCTATAAAACGTTGCTTCATGCCAAATTTCAAGATTCTAGGTCGACTGGAAGTACCCTTTAGGTTTTGATTCCCTTGCGAGTACTTGCGAGTTTCAAAATATGCAGCTTAAATTGCTGTTTCTTTTGATTGCGTTGACATAGAAGTTTGATTTTATTACAGCTTAAAGGTATTATAGACCTGAGTATTTGGTATGAATTTCAATTTAATACCTCTACGCGTTTATGAGGAAATGGGTAGTAAGGTTAAAATTATTAAAAAAATATATATTATGTGATGTAACTAAAAATTTATGGTTTTCGTAATTTTTCCTTTATCTATGCTATAAGACGTTGCTTGGTACCAAATTTCAAGATTCTGAGTTCACGGGAAGCACCCTGTAGGTTTTGATTCCCTTGCAAGTGTCGAAAATTTGCGGCATAAACGGCTGTATCTTTTGATTGCGTTGGCTTAGAAGTTTGATTTTTTCACAGCTTCAAGGGACAGTAGACCTGAGTAATTGATATAAATTTCAGCTTCATACCTCCACGCGTTCCTGAGAAAAAGGGTCTTGACAGACGGACGGACGGACAGACGGACAACAAAGTGATCCTATAAGGGTTCCGTTTTTCCTTTTGAGGTACGGAACCCTAAAAACATCAATAGGTCGTGTTATTTTACTGTGTTCTTCTGTAAGGTAGAAGTAACTTCCCCAGACGGACGGAAAATATACTCGTTTCCAAACCCTGCCTGTCGTTATTTTAAATAATTGGGTAATCCTATTTAACACATAATTCCATCTATGGTGTCAATTACGGCAGGATTATCTAAACTTAAAACTAAATTTTACATCAGTCTCTCCTTTTCATTCCGTATAGAGAATGACAAGGATGCACTGTTGTCAAATTTCAGTTTAGGTTTAAAAAATCATGCCAGAATCGGCACCTATGTCCATCGTTTTAAATTAAATTGAGGTAGGTACTTTTAAATTTTATTTAAAAACTTGGATGCAAGTGAGCAATATTTTAAGTACTTTTAAGCGTTTGAATAAATCATAAGCAGAGTTTTTACAAAAAATACACGGTTCATGTTTGCATGCAGCAAAAGAGATTGTCGTTCGCAGAAATAAAGAAAAATACTTCTAATATAATTTTAATGTTCCACGAAATCTAATCTATTTTATTTATTTTACTTTGATGGTTTAAACTCATGAAATTCATTATAAACCAGTAAATCTTTTTATTATTATTATCAGATATTTAAATACGATTTAGGCTATTATCGAGTTTGTATTTTTATACTATTTTAAGCACTGTCTATATAGGTGCCTACTTTCATATGTTGTATACCGTATCTGTAATTGTAGTTGAACCTAAATATAGGATGATACTTCAGGTCATTTGCCTTCCGTTATGATAGAGTATTATACGCAACATCATAAAGGCAAATCTATATTTACATTATATTAATATGTAGCTTTCCGCCCATAGTAAATTCATTGGCGTGGATTTTACTCCCGTTTTAACTGAACTTCACAGCCTTTTTTTACCTCAGAAAGTGTGTCAATTTAAACATACATATTTTTTCAACCACACAGAGGAAGAATATAAAAAAATAGTAACAGTCAACATTTATTGCTAACCATCTTTATAATTGATAAATAATGACGAATACAAAATATATTCATCCCCTATTTTATTATTCTATGATTTACTTGCATCATGGTTTCACAAAACCACACCATGTTTTTAGTATATACTTTTATTTATATTCAATTTCATAATAATAATAATACATTTCACTAACACTAGATATTCTTTGTTAATTTGATCGCGCCCGTATTGCTCTACTGCTCTCACTTACACAATATTTTTTATATAGTTATAGTTTTATTTTTGAAGCATTTAACTGCTAGTACAGGTCGCGGCACGTAACTCTAGCGCTGAACAAAACGCGAAGGGGATAGCTGCGCATGGGTACGGCACAACGCACGCCCATCCGCGCACCTCGTTTCCCCCCAAGGCATCTTGATTTTCACTTCTGCGCAATAACAGTCAGCGCTGGAGTTTCGTGTCGCGACTAATAAATTGCTGTTTCTAGTAAAATTTTCTTTAGATTTTTTTTTATGTCAAGTAAACCTTGTCTTTGCAGGTTTCAAATTGGTATTGCTGTTGCCTTCAGCGAGTTCCTCCCGTTGTTCCATAGAAAATCACCATGGTTGTACCTACACGGTGTCATGTGTGCAACGGCCATCAAAAATTGCGGTCGTTCCATGCGCCTACGAAGCAAATGTAAATGTTACGTTCAAAATAAAACAATCACAACTGGATACTTTGACATCAGGATTCTTCAGTGCCACAAATTATGATACCCGAATAAAACATATAATTGCTCACGAGAATGAGTGGCACACTTTAGAGACGCACACTTTTAAATACTTTTCTCGTACTATATCTTTAAACTTAACGGGAAATGGCATAGTCAATATAAACAACGAAACCTTTTTTCAACTGGAGCAACTGCAGTATTTATATTTGTCGCATAATAAAATTAAAATACTGTTTCAGAAATCACTCTCTTTAGCAACTGCAAATGCATTGGAAGAGTTGGATTTGTCATACAATATGTTGACTAGCTTACAATCGCCTTTGTTTACATCTTTGAAAAAATTGCACACTCTGCATCTACAAAATAATCAACTTATTTCTATTTGTGATGAATGCTTTTCTGGTTTAAAGAACTTGGCAATATTATATTTACAAAATAATAATATTACGAGTCTTAACGCGACATTTATACCACTCAACTTAAGTTTACTTGACTTGTCAAGTAATAAAATAAAAACACTAAATCATAGTGAAATAAGTCATATGAATGCTTTGTTATACTTGAATATTTCTTACAATTTACTAGAAACAGTAGATACTTATGCTTTTGAAAATACATGGAAAATGGAATATCTAGATTTAAGTCATAACAAGATATTTTCAAGTATAGAACCTCAAATGTTTATGAATAACCATTTACTGAAGTATATTGATTTATTTGACAATGAAATCACCACTATTAGGGAGCTAGCTTTTCAATTCAACTCTATAAAATATATAGAACTCGATCAAAATAGTCTCTCAATTAATATTAGTCGTAATTGTTTAAAAGGTCTTAAGAACATAAAATATCTGAATATTACTAAAGAAAAAATTACCGCAATCAACGAATACGCATTTGTTGATATGGAAAATCTACAATTCTTAAATTTAAGCAGAAATTATATAGAATATGTTGATAATACAAGTTTTGAATTTAAATATGAAAATAAATTAACGTTTTTAGATTTATCATATAACTTTATAAATGACTTGTATTTTCTACAAAACTTTACGAGTCGCTTGATCGAGTTGTATTTAAATAATAATAAGCTCACAATACTTAGAACAGGTATTTTTGAAAAGCATACAATGCTAATTCGATTGGATGTTTCTGAAAATGATATCATATTGCTAGAGCCATTTTCGTTACCTTTAGTTAAGCTTCAATATTTTAATATAAATAAGAATAACCTAATGGGTAATATCACTAAAAATGTATTCAGCCCTGCGCCATTTATAAGATTTTTGAATTTAAATAATTTAAAGATCCAAGGAATCGATGAAAATGCCTTTAAAGACTTACAGCTCTTGACTAAACTGAATTTATCTAATAATGAAATCGAATTTATACATTCAAATAATTTTCAAAATATGGAAAAAATGTACAGTTTAGACCTATCTTACAATAAACTATCACAGCTTGAAAGTAAGACTCCGTTAAATTTATTAACGGCAATCTATTTAAATAATAATCAATTTGAGCATTTGCCAAATTTATTTTCAAATAAATCAGCAATTATATACATTGACATATCTAATAATAACATTTATAATCTTGAAAGTGCTGGGTTAGAGAATTTCCCTAGCGTAAGAGTTTTAAAACTTTCGCATAATTCGATTAAGATTTTTAATAGTAACCATACAAATGCACTAACTAATCTTTCTGACTTAACTCTTAATTCTAATCAGATAACCGCAATTAACTTAGATTGCTTTGAAGTATTAATGAGCATAGATCTAAGTAATAACAGTATAAGCCTAATAAACAGTACGACATTTAAAAATCGTCATTCACTTCAATATTTAGACCTGAGTACAAATAAAATATCAGAGATTGTACCAGGTACATTTCAAAACTTGAAAATTCTGAAATTTTTGAATCTTTCATCCAATTCCCTAACTTATTTTCGTTACGGCACCTTTAGAGGCCTATCTAAAACTGAAATGATATATCTATCAAAAAACAAATTAAGGTTTCTAGATGTCAATATTTTTCACGATTGTGATGATCTTAAAAAGCTAATAATAGATTATAATTATATTCAAACCGTAAACATAGAAACTCTGATTGCAGTTGCACCGAATTTAATATCTCTTAGTCTGGGAGGAAACCCTATTGCGTGTGAAGAGATTATAAGAAGCGTAAAACTGAAAGAATCGAAGAAGTTGGAAGTAACATCCATTCATAAAATATTTCATGATGACAATGTTCATGGTATAAGGTGTGGGAATGCCAGCTATAATTCTTCAGCTATAGAATCTCATAATAAAGCTATGGACAAAAGCATACTTGAAGGTAGAGAGGTGGTTGGAAACTCGAGCACAACTGTTTTGCTAATATGGTTTTTCATTATTACCTTATTAGCGCTTTTAGCTATCATTTATTTTATTTATCAAAAACAGTGTAAAAAGACTGTAACCAGAGAATATCAAATAAATTCAGTAAATATGAGCAGTTCAGAATGTAGTATATAATGAATTGTTGAGTTAATGCAAAAATTTACTCGAAAGTTAAGAGTAGGTAATCAAGCGTTTTTCGTGTTCACAACACGGTGCGTACGTGTGTGATATGTCCCGTGAATATAAAGTTTTTATCAAAACTATGACGCCTTGTTCATACATCGTAAGCCTTTTTACTTTTGACCTCGTATTTACATAGGTGGCACGTATTTCGTGTACTGAGTGCTCCATCTGCCTTTTGTTCTGTAATTTACATTAAGTGATCGGTAACTTACTCTTATTTTCATTGATAATAGAAAAAATATCGATTATTGGTTCTTATCGATCATTGGTGCCACTATCTGTTTATTATTTTGTAAAGATATATTTTTGTATTGCTTTTTCATTATTCTCTTGTGTAGTTTTCTTGTTACATGAGGTAGGATTTTGATTAAGACATTATATTTCAGGTTTATATTGTAAATACCTGTATACACAAGTATAAAGCTGAAATTTCAAAGAATCATCAACCAAACTAGAGTGAAGTGAAATGCGACACAAATAAAATCAAGGGAACTGTGTAAAACGAAGAAACACATAACGTAGTATAGTAGTAAACATAAATGAAACACTACATATTATAAAACAAAGTCTCTGCTGCATCTTTATTACGCTATTAGAACATAAATGAGATATTATAGTAATGACAATGATATATTCTTGAAGTATCCAGAGGTATTTATGATGTGACACTTTTATTTCTCTACTTGTGATGTGTTAGAGCGAGAGCATGAATAAGAAAAATCAGCAAGGAGATTCATTTGCGAGTGATATTTTCTGCAAATTAAAAAAATATATATACGCAAAGGTCTCAAAAAGTAATGCACTAATTATCAGGCGGTTTTCACTCATTTATATCTTAAATAATTTTTCACAGACGGTTTATATAAACCGTCTGTGAAAAATGTCCGAGGACTAAAACGATAGTTTATATCATAAAAAGCTAAGGCGCATATAACCCACCCTGGCTTCGCTTGTATATATTAGGCGGTTTTAACTAGTACATATTCAAGAAAGGTGACTCATTTCTTTGTCGTACTATTCGCAAGGGGAATTCTTTGCCCGCGCTCGTTGGCCTCTCCTTCTTACAATCTGGGGTCTTTTAAAAAAGAAGCGTGAAGAAGCATTTCTGCAGGCTAACAAGGTGAGGATGGTTGGTGTGCGCCAACTATCATTCCGTCTGGACTTTGCCATCACTTAACATAAGGTGAGGTAGAGTCATTTGCTGACCTGGTTATAGAAAAAAAGATATAGAATTTCGCAAATCATATTTCTCCAAGCTTTACTATCGACTTTGGAAGTGAAATTTTATTTTACATAATCGCCCTGCTGATTGTTCTTATTTGTGTACTCTAGTGTGAACGTATCTCCTGGGCCCATAAAGTACATTTTATCCCAAATGCTTTATTGTGTTCCTCGGTTGTTCTTATTTGTGTACTCTTACTCTTACACACCACAAGCAGAGCATTAAGAGTGTCACATCATAAATACCTCTGGATACTTCCAGAATATATCATTGTCATTACTATATCTCATTTATGTTCTAATAGCGTAATAAAGAAATATAACAACCGAGAATGAATAAAAAATGGGCCTTATAAAGTTATCCATCGGAAAAGGTATTGTAAGGAAAGCATTTTGTGGAACCATTAATCATCTCGAGTACAGACGAGAATACTCGGGATACGTCATTTTGTGTCTTTAATATATTTTAGGGTGAAAATAATCTTTGAGTGCATGCCATGCCCCGGATGTAATATAAATCAAAGTACAAATTTAATATAAATCCTGTTTTATTTATTGCTTCATTTTGTGTAAAGTTTGAGTATTCTAGCCAATGCTGGTAAAAATCTATTTTCTGGGTCCAGGAGCTGGCACTTCATTTTTTTTAAAAGGTCTCTATTAGCCAAATATTTTTCTGGCACTTCGCCGGTCGCAAGGCAAACTCGCTGTTCTCGCTCGCTAAGTGTGAACGTATCTCCTGGGCCCATAAAGTACATTTTAAACCAAATGCTTTATTGTGTTCCTAGGTAGGAACCCGAAGATAATTTATCATTTAATAGCAATCCGCCCTAACTTCGTTTAAGTATAGGCTATAGTTTTTGATGTCTTTTGAAATTCTATTCAGTCAGTCAGAAAAAATATCAAAAAATAATAACACTTATTTTTACTTTTGTCAACATACCAAAAAATTACAAAGTTGATCTTTGTATTTTTTCTCAAATTTAGCGCGTCAAAGTTTGGGAGTGGGGTTATGTGACGAGACTGCAGTGCAGTGAGTAAAAATTGTACCAAGTCATGACCTCGTCGGATATATCTAATCTATATATATCTCGGTATATTTGACTATGTGTAAAAATACCTGTTAATTTACCTGACAAAGAAAATAAGTTATTCATCATGCTTATTAAGCCTTGATTTGTATTGAGATTGTTGCTAGTGGCTGAAAACCACAGAACACAGAGAGGAAGAGGCCTTGTTGGCGGTGGTGCAGGCGGGCCAAAGTTATGTGTGTTCAAATGCTCATAACTTGACTTAAACTTGGTTCCGATTGCGTCGTTGCTCTCGGGTGTGGGCGCTAATTGGTTCTGATTATTTGATGTGCTATTGGGTGTATTCCGAAATGTACATTAGTATACTGGCCAGTGGTAATGACGTCACGAATCCGACGCCATATTGTACTGGTATGCTACCATATTTTTACCGAGAAAACGTATATGACGTATGACCGAGCGTGCGTGAGATGCATTCGAATTTTATTTCTTTTTTATTTAAAGAACAATAATGGCATCCGAACAAAAAGAATCCCTTTTATTTGATGAGGTGAATATAAAATCTTCTTTATTCGCTATTTTTGATATTTAGTCGATTTATGACGTCAGTGCACTGGCCAATATATTTCGGAACAATTCACCAGCATACCGTCGATCCATGATGTCATTAGCACTGGCAAGTATACTGGTATATATTACGGAATACATCCATTAACTTTTCCAGCGGCATCGCTTCCGTACAAACGGTTCTAACCTCACCCTTCTAACCTCTTTTGAGATCTGTGCTCAAAAGTCCATAAAAAACAGTAGATGTACCACTAAAGAACCTTTGTTTTGTCAAAAAGAGTACAGAGCCAGCGTTAGCTTTAAATCAACTCTAACTTTAGTTTTGTAATAAGGCGGATTTTTTAACACTAGTCTTGTTAAAAAGAATTGTTATTATTTTAAATGATGACTAGGACTTGCATTCGAGATGTTGTCCATATTAACGGAGGGTCAAGTAGGGGGAAAGTGTAACAAAATGCACAGTGTAACAATAGCAATATCACTGTATTATACCCGACTATTTGACGTCTGATGACAGCTGGTTAAGATGGTGGCATATGGAACCAAATTTAAATCTCAGATCAAGTATACTCTTATGAATAAGGGCTATTGTAAAGTTGATGATTATCTAAATGATCGTAATGCATGGACATAGTATTTCTTGTAATTTTTTTTTGATGGGTATTTGTCATTTTTCATAATAGTAATATGGTGCATATCTAATGCCGCTTCCTATATACTAAATTTAAAGATAATTATAATTTTAATGTAACTATATATCTATATCCTAAATGATGTAGTGGAAGGTTACTTCAGAATTCTCCCTGAAGTCATTTTTCAACTTGACAACTCTGTATATAACAATACAGGGAGAAAAAAAACAGCCCTTGCTGAGTTTCTTGCCGGTTCTTCTCAGTACAAGGTCTCCCACCGTAGTTTTGCGAACCGATGGCGTAGCTTCTTGACCTCCACAAGTGCTTGTTACAGCCTAGACTGAATAAATGATTTTGATTTTGACTAAACTAATAAAACCATTATATAGTAATTTATGTTATTTACAGGATTGTTACCATGTACTTTGATTTTTCGTATTTGTAAAAACCGCAATAACCAAAAAGGTGTCGTGTCACGGTCCGAAACTGTGAGTGTTGTGTGTCGAGAACAGTTTCGAGTGAATAGTGAGAATGTGAACAATGGTACAGGTATCGAACGCAATAAAAGACTTCGTCGGAGGGTAGACCGATATGTTTGCCAATAACAGCCTACCCGCAATTACTTCTGTAACGCCATGATCATGGCGCTTGAAACAGTGCCAAAATATCGAAAACTCAATAACATAAACTAAATAACATAAATTATTATAATGTATGAGCGACCATGAAAGTTTTTTTTTTATTGATAGGTCCGAAAAATGACTCCACCCCACCTGATGTTAAGTGAAGGTGAAGTCCAGACGTGACGATAGCTGATACAGCAGTTCCACCTGTCACACCAGGCATCCTTACCCTGCCGGCCTGCATGTTGCTTCTTCACGCCTCTTTTAAAGGATCCCAGGTTGTAAGAGGGAGACACGTGAGTTGGCACTGCATTCCATTTACGGATAGTGTGACAAAGAAATAAGTGACCAAATTTCTTTGTAAGCGTTGGAATTGAGGCCACGGTTAGACGGTGACAGCGAAGGCCAACGCGCGTGGTGAGTGGTGAGGTGGAACACGTGAGCATGCAGAGCATTCCATTTACGGATAGTTCGACAAAGTTCGACAAATGAGGTACCAAATTTCTTTGTACGCTTTGGAATTGTGGCCACAGTTACACGGCGACGGTTTAAAACAATAAAAACCACGTCCAGACAGTCCATAGATAAAGGAATGGGCAGATATATTCCAAATGTAACACTGTGCCTCTTGTTACACTTGACTCTAATGTTGTTAAATCTTTGACGACTGATTATGTTGTTAGTTTAATAGAAAGGACAGAAATAAAATTTATATTAAAGACAAAGTTTGCTTATTTTACCCGAAATAATTAATCCCTCAAGCTTAAGAATAATTTGTAGAGGCCGTTAACGATGGAGCGGTTAGCGATTGTAAAAGTTAAGCAATCTCCGCAAACAATTATAGGATGGGTGACCTAAACTTTATAATCTTTGTCTACTTTGTTTTGTGAAAGATACGACACCTGTGGTATCCAAATCCTACATACATATTTTGTGCGTATTCCCAATTTGTATGACCAAGTCGACAGAGGGGAAAGTTGTATCTGCTTACTCGTCTCCTGGCCGTGTCGGCCGTGTTGCTGTATGGGTTTTGTCGTTTGAAGATCATCTGCAATGATTTCTTATAAGAAATCAACAAAACCTTTAGAGCAACATGGCCGATGCGGCCAGGAGGGGAGGAGGCATAAATAACATTCCCCACTGTCAAATCGGGAATACAAATTAGGAATACTTTTCAACTACTACAACGACTACAATTTTCCATTGTGTACTAAATGTACAATCTACAAAGTGCTCTGACATTATAAACGAAAGCTAAACACAATGAAACCAATAAATGAGAATTTATGAATTAATAAATAACCACAACTTTTGGGGTTAAAGTCCATGCAAACCGATTTATCGACGCTCTCTATTTATAACAATGACTTATGTATGTATATCTCCAACAATTATCTTTGTATTTCCGGCAACGTGACGAGCCAAAACTGTATTGTTTTAACTGCACATTTAAACGACCCGGTTGTGATAAAGCTTCTAGGCGCTCATTTCAAAATAAATTCGTGGAACAATTAATATGAGGTAGAAAAATAAGAGAGTTCCTCTCAAGAAGTACTCTAATAATCCAGTCTCTTCATCCACGAATTTGTACCATGGATTTTTTGAAAACATCGCTCTTTTGTAAGTACTTTTTACCATTTCACATAGGAAAACGCTCGTGATGTTTTACTGTGTAACGAAATAAAATGTTGTGTAGTACAATAAAAATGTTCTTTTGAAAAATAAATAGAGTTTGCAGTTGAATCTGAAAATAATAAACGTGATAACATTAAAGAAGACCACAGTAAAATAACAATACCGTTTGGCGATGTTGTGTTTCTGTCGGTTAGTAAGTCTTTAGGGCTATACGGTTAGTGAGGCTTTAGAGCTATAGGGGATTGGGTCAGGGCCACTGGCGGGGGCTGTGGACGACTTTTGATTAACAGGGCCCCTGCACTCTCGGCATGCACTCTGGGGACTTCGGTCTTCAGAGTGCGTGTCGGGTGCCCGGAGCAGGAGTATTGTTAGGTTTTTAGTGGGTAGGGTTCCCGCCTCCCGAGCAGCCGCTGAACCAGTCCTTGGGCTGGCTAACCCTGTCAGCACCTCCCGGCGGCGGGGTATGCGTCA